TAACCGTATGAAAGCCTTTACACCAAATTGGATAACAGGATGATAGGTTTTATTTAAGCTATTTGAAAGCCTCTACACCAAATAAAATGAGGTTTGTAAGGCTTTTTTTAAACTCTATGTCAGGGGCTGTCAAACTTCACGAAGCATGCATGGGAAAACATTTTTTAATGTACCTAATTATTTGACTCTGTTGTTACAAATGAGATTTTTATGTTAAAGACTTATATAGACAATGTTTAATTCAATGTCACAATTGGTCATTCTTAAGTACTAGAATAAATGACCCGATGTTATCGGGATAATAATGGTAGGTCCTTTGCGATAGTTTCTACTTGCTATTGCAAAATCTCATCACAATTCCTACCTTTAAACAAGGTATATATATGATTATATTTACGTTTCTAACATCATTAAGTTTTGAGAAATATTTATCTGCTATGTATTATACGCCTCCCCTACTCCCTTTCACTCCCCTAAACTACATTTCCCTTCTAAACATGACCTTAAATTACGCAAATAAATTATCATTAATTATATCACTTTTGTCACTAAAGTAGTTAACTGACGGGCGATTTCTACGCTAGAGAATTAATTTAAATTTTCCCCTTTTCGTGTCCTGGAATTCCAAAATGTTTTTTCTAAAAATTGTTAAAAACATAATCTTAAATTTACAACAAAAACTCTACGTATGATATAAAAAAAAATTATATTAAGGGATTTGATATATTTCTATCTTCATCAAAAATTTTAAACACACATTTGCCTTGCTTTTGTAATTATGCATTATCAGAAAATTCTTGAAACAAAGAATTCTCTTATCTAAAGAAGAATCTCTTAACCGTTTTTCACGTCTCTAACAGACTTGAGTGTCTTTTTTTTTTTTTTAATTTGTTAAGAAAAAATTTGCACCCATGCTACTTTTTGCAAAGTAAAAACAAAAATATATTTTCATTAAAAAAAAAAAAAAATTTCAATTGTTAAAAATACCTTTTCAATTGTATAAAATGATTGGGGTTTGATATTTATGGGTATGCTTTAATAACTGTACCAACGTTGTGTTAACGCCATTGATTTTCTTAATTGGTAAAACTAGGTTTATTTGTAAATAGAGAATGTAACATCTCTTTTTTAACAAATGTAAACCATAGGATTTAAATATATTGTCATCAACGTAAAAATGTACACATCCTTTTTCCTAACTCCGAGAGGTGTAAAGGCCTACCCAAGAAGGTTAATTATTTATCAAATTCATTCCTTTATTTTGAGACCTATCTTGTGCTCCAGGGAAAATTTAACATTCACATATTTGTAAAAAGAGAAAGTAGCATCTCTTTCTTCACAGATGTAATACCATAGGAATTAAATATATTGTCATCCACGTAAAAATGCGCACATTCTTTTTCCTACTCCAAAAAAGGTTAATTATTTATCAAATCCATTCCTTAGTTTGAGAGGTATCTTGTGCTGCCTGGGGCAAATTGACCAACGTCCACAGATTTAAATAAAATTACTAAAATCTTCCACCGGTTTGTAGTCCCTTCTATATCCAAACTAACAATTTGCACTTCATATGGTTTGTTCTTATTTGGATGAGTTTAAACCTAATCTTAAATTTACAACAAAAACTATATTTATGATATAATTATATTTTCTATTACAGGAATTTGATGTATATTGATTTCTTCATCAAAAATTTTAACACATTTTTGCCTTTTTAAAAAATTATACATTATCAGAAAATCATAAAACAAAGAATTCTTTTATCCAAGAAAATCTTGCAACTGTTTTTAATGCCCTTATTAGATTTAACTGTCTTTAACAAAAATTAAATTGTTAATTTCATAAAAATATACACCTCTTTACTTTTTGCAAAGTAACAACAAAAATATATTTTCATTAAAAAAAGAAAATATTAGCCCATCTTCATTTGTCAAAATTTAATTTTCAAGTGTGTAAAATTATTGGGTTTTGATATTCATGGATATACTTATATTAATGTACCCAAGATTTGTTAACACCAATGATTTTCATAATTGGTAAACATATGTTTATTTGTATAATGAGAATTTAACATATCTTTTTTTTACAAATTTAATACCATGGATTTAAATATATTGTCATCCATGTAAAAATGTACATATTCTTTTTCTCATCTCCTACATGTATGTAGCCAAAAAGGTTAATTATTAATCAATTTCTTTCCTTTAATTTGAGACTTATCTGGTGCTGCCTTGAGCAAAATGAACATTCAAATATTTGTAAAAAGATAATGCAACGTCTCTGTTTTTACAAATGTAATACCATAGGATTTAAATATATTGTCATCCACGTAAAAATGTACACATCCTATTTCCTACCTCCGATATGAATGTACTCAAACAGGTTAATTATTTATTAAATTCATTCCTTTATTTTGAGACGTATTTTGTGCTGCCTGGGGCAAAGTGACCAACCCCTCCCCAACCCAGATTTAAATAAATTAAGAAAATCTTCCACCAGATTGTAGTCCCTTACATACCCAAACTAACATATTTTGCACTTCATATGGTTTGTTCTTATTTGGTTGAGGCATAAATGGATTTGTGTATCCTATCTAGCTATGGAGTTGCGCTGCACTGATTGACTTAAATGCATTTTCTTATTATAATTATATTTAAAGGTTATTATATATAACTTTATAAACTCAATAAAAGTATATTTTTGGAATCAAAACTTGCAAAACTTTTTAAATGTAAAAATATGCAAAGCAAAAATGTGTGTGCTTTATTAACAATTTAAAAAAAGCAATCATTTGTATTTATTTATTTTACTTTTAAGAAGGGAAATTACTTTATCAGTTTGATCATGCGCGGTTATTAAATCTAAAAGAAACCTAAGAGTTTTGGCGCCCAATGACCTCCTTTGCATGATTATTTAGAACAAATTAATTTTAAAAATTTTATTTAGCTTATTAATTACGCACTAAAAGACGCACTAAAAACGGCTGATGCTTGGGTTTTCCCGAAAAATGTGATTACGGTGTAATTCTTTGATCATGATTTTTTTATGTTTTTTATTTTTTCAAAACTTTTAAACACATATAAAATGCTTAAAATAGTTTCTTAGTTGATACTTAAAATGTATTTGTAATTTATAATAATAATACTTAAAGATTTACTAATATAAAAGCGGATTTAAAATATTTTTGTGCACATTTAAATTTATTCGATTTCCGTAAAATAATAGAAAATAACTATGATTTTTTTTAGGAATCCCAACGTACTTAAAAAGTTCTCCCTTTTGGCGTTATGTGAACCTAGCTCATTCTTATATTTATGATTTAGTTATTTACAGCTGTCTTTTTTTCATTAGCTTTTTTTTTTTTTTTTTCATCCTAGAAACAACTGAAAGAATACCTTGAAAACTTACTAACGTGCAAGTCCTACAGGAATCACCCAGAAACGGTAAAACATTTCACACATTACACATGCTATTACACATCTAAATGACAACAGTTTTATTCCTGGGTTTCAAGGGATCATGAAAGTCAAATAAAAATTTAACATCAACATCTCAGAAATGGTGAATAGATTGGGGTTTTTTCCCCAACAAATTTCCACTGGAAGAATACATTTTTTGTACAGCAAGAGGACCTGCTATGATTGGCAAAACATCTGACTTTTTTGTCGATTTGGGGAAGAAAGAAGCTCCTCTCATGAGACTTTTCAGCACATGTTTTTAACAAAGGACGAAGCAAAAAATTAAAATGCATTAGATGTGAAAAGATTTCTTACTTATCAAACTTTGCTCTTCACTTTCCCCTTCCTGTTCAATACAGACAGCAACAACCTTCTTGTTTTAAATGAACTTTNCAGATGCCTTGGATTAGTTTAGGTCAAGGGTCCTCAAGCAGATGCCTTGGATTAGTTTAGGTCAGGGGTCCTCTAACTTTTAAGTCAGGGGATTGTTTTACTGACCCTCGGACACTTAATTGGGCAGTTCACTTTCCCTTGGACGTGTTTGGGGGCTGGACTATTGTTTGACAACTATTATCGAATTCCTGTGCACAATGCACATAATTTGTTTTGTTTAAAAACTGGAGAAAAAAAAAGATAAAATATAAAAACTAAGAACATTTTAATCGACATAATGTATAATGTTTGAGTATTTCAATGGGAAGTATGGGCCTGCAGTTGGCTAAAGAGATGGTCATGGTGCGGTTATAAATTTTTCACTACTATTGGGGTGTGTGAATGGTGGCTTATAGGCTGGGTGGGTGCTTTAGGACCTCTGGTTTAGCAATGTTTTTAACTTTTTGAGGAGAGCTAATGTATATTATTTGAGAGGAACAATGCTATTGGTGTCTGTGTTAAAAAAATGTCTGTGTATCTCAACTCCATTTTACAATGGTTGTCCCATTCATTTGAGTTCATTTATCAGATAACCAAATGATCTTATCAATCGCAAAGACAATATTTACCTCAGTAGCCGACCTCTTTATTCCATGTCCATTTTTACTTCATCTGTGCTGTCCATCTGATAACCCTGCCGGTAATCCAATGTCCTACCAGCCTATCTCAGTAAGCCTTACTTTATAGGAGTAACCCAGAGTTGTCGCTTGACTTTTTGGGGCACGGTTTAGTTTTGTATCCTCTGGATTCAAAGTTGAGGCTTATAAATTGTTTAATATAAAAATTTGGGCTACTCAGGACAGCTCTGGAAAAACCGCATTCCCTCCTGATCTCCTGAAAATGTATACAATATTTAATAGGGCTTGTGTGTGCTGCTTTACTGCACAACACGATTATGGGCCATGCTCACCTACGGATTTGATGGTGTCCTATAAACTACAATTTATTTTAGTGATTTGAAATGTCTTTAGGGCTCCTTACTATGATGTCAAACAAAAACAATTGTGTGTTTATTTTAACAGCCATAATAGCTTTTTTTTTTCCTTTATTGTTCAGAAAAAGGATTGTTGATGAAAATGTTATTGTAGATGTCAATAATGTTGCAGGTGGTTAGTTGTGAAAGATAATTTTGTGATGTACATAAGACCAGAAGATGGACATATCAGTGATGTGTTGCTCATGGATTCAGCATTCTCAGTCAAGTGTGGACTTTACCTTACAGGTGCCAGTCATGGAGTCCTGATTGAAAATTTTAGTAGGTAAGATACCACCACTCCTAAAAGTGAATTCACCTTACTGGACCTAATTACTGTGATAAGCAATAATACAAAAATAATAAGTGCACGATTATTAAACTTTTATATATTGTTGCATTGTTCTTCATTGGAGACAATATATTCCTATTAGTTTTACTTGATACTGCACTACAATAGCTCAGTCCTAGTTCAGCAGAATAAAAGGATACAGCCATTAAATGAAAGAACTGTTGTTGCCAGGAAAACCATTGGTAACTGTGACAGCATGGTTAAGTCTGCTCAGAGTTGGTCGACTTTTGTTCAAGGTTTATTAGTTGTTGTTTTTTGTTTTTTGTTTTTGTTTTTTTAAAATTGGAAACAAAGTGCTCATTAAATCTCATACTGAAAGTTGTTGGTTTGAATTTAGCTGGAAAAGGGGAAAAAAAAACCAGAAAAATTGTTAAATGGCTAGTTCCAATATTTGGGGGACCACCCCCTGTCCCCCCTCCTCTTCCCCTTTCTTTCAGAGGTATAAGTGGATTATTAGTTACGGACAAGTTAGTCTAGTCTGAATTAGTTGTATTTATTCTGTAGGAAGCTGCTCCTCAAATGTTGGACCAATCGCCAGGCCAAGGAGTGGGCTGAACAGGTTCAACGTGTGGCCAACATGCAGGCCTACGATTACATTCAGAGAAACAGATTTGGCTCATTTGCTCCAGCCAGAGAAAACACATATGCCAGATGGTAAGTTGACATAACATGTATTTGCCAGATGGTAAGTTGATGTAAACATGTTCACCAGATGTTAAGTTGATGTGTACATGGATATCAAATGGTAATTTCACCTAAAATACACACAAGTTGTGATACAGGTTTAGATCAATTTATAATTAATTAAAGAAATGAAGCCAGGTGTATTGAGTTATGACTGAATGTGATTTCATTGGTGATCTAACCCAGGTGTATAGAGTTACTCTTCCATGTGATCTCATTGGTAATCTAACCTAGGTGTATAGAGTTACTATTCCATGCGATCTCATTGGTAATCTAACCTAGGTGTACAGAGTTATGATTCCATGTGATCTCATTGGTAATCTAACCTAGGTGTATAGAGTTGTGATTCCATGTGATCTCATTGGTAATCTAACCTAGGTGTATAGAGTTACTATTCCATGCGATCTCATTGGTAATCTGTTGTGGATAGTATTCTCCTCTATCAATAGATGTGTTTTTTTTTTAATTTTTGTTTTTTTTAAATTTAATATCCCATAAATAAGGGATCAAAGTGATCACCATGGAGAAGTTCTATAGAAAATTAGTGACCATAATTAAGGGATGAAAGGGATTCCCATGGAGTGGTTCTGTAGACAACTGTCGTACAGCTTCACTGAACCTATTCATGTTAAAGGATAGTTCCGGTCAGTCACTAAGTTTTTAAAGGTGTTCTCAACTTTCTTTGATGTGACAAAACAAACTGTGACTCATTGCAATTGACTGGTCTCACAGGTTTGTTGATGGTAGAAGTTACTTTGAGGCAGTTGCGGACGCTCTAGAGAAAGCCAAAGAGGAGATCTACATTACAGACTGGTGGTAATTGATCAGGCACATTGAACTTTTTCTTCATTTAATTAAGAAACTATTGAAACCTAACTCAGAATAACATGCTATCATTTCTTTGGTCTGTTACCTCGTAAATGGTTTTATAAATGTTCAAGCTAAGCATATCCAAGCTATTGAATATCAATTACAACCTATTTATGTTTTGGCCATGTACGTAGATGATATGGATGTACTGGCTAGGACTGTACAATCTTTGAGCCTCCGACCTATTTATGTGCAGGCCCCGTACATATATGCTATGGATGTACATGCTAGGACCTAACTATCTATGAGCCAATATGCCAGAGATAATCTCATGCTCTGACATGTCACCACTCTTCATATCTGCAGCTTTTTCTTCCAATCAGGCTCAGTCCCGAGATCTACTTAAAACGACCGATGGTTGATGGTGACAAGTGGAGGCTGGATGTTATCCTCAAAAGGAAAGCTGTAAGTCAAACTAGTATTATGATGTACTTTTGGTTGGGGGGGGGGGTGTGTTCAATCTCACTCCACCTCTGACCAAATCTCCTGCCATCTGTTAAAGTGATCAGTTTAACTCTTGCCCTGGTGATTCCTAGTACAGTTTACTTATTGATTTGTTATACTGAATGGGTCCTCTCTTCCAAATTGTTCACATTTATTTCAACTGGATTCATTGATGGTCTTGACCATAATATCAAATGTCGGGTCTTATCCAACATTTTAAAATTAAATGCTGCAAACTATTTTTATTGTTTTTATTTGATTTAATTTTTTTTTAAAGTTTTATAATTGACCAAGTTTTAAACCCAAAGGTAAAATGATAAATTTGTTAAAATAAACATATATGCTGTAATTGTTTTGGGGTTCTTCAATGCTCCATAAAGTCAACGCTGGAGTATCTCAAAGTAAGAATTTGTAAGAATCTATTTATCCTATGATATATTATTTCAGTTGCACAAGTAATTGCTTTGTGTCTTATGCTTTGTGTCTTATGCTTTGTGTCTTA